GCAAAACCAACACACCTTGTTCTTTAAAATTATGTCTGAGGAATATCTGAACTTCTATGAAGTACAAACATGAGCTCTTGTGTTCTGAGTTGTAAATTGGAAAAGGAGCTCCAGAACCTCAAACGTGCATGTAAAATTGTTGCATGCCATTGGTGAGGCCAGCCACATATCGCTTGAGTATCCACGATCTCAGCACAGTGGGACATTCATCATGGCTCAGTGATGTGAACTCCAAGTGCCAGCCACAGCAAGCACACACAACACCCAAACATCAAGAAACTCAAACTGCTGAGGAAAGGGCCTACCTATGAAGGAGTAACAAAGAGATGACAGAAGTAAGGAAACCTCAAAGTATCTCTGGTTCTCTTGATCATGGTTACACATACATGTTTGTTCTCTAACAAAATACAGATAGGCGTTTTCCTTTGAAATATTATGTTTTTCTTTGAAATAATACTACTCATGAACAACCTGGTTCTAACCACTTATGGTTCCCTCCTGTTCTCCAATAGCCGTTATTGATTTCTATTTATTTATTTCACTGCATTAAGGAATCTTACTCTGAATGCTGTATTTGGAAACTGCACTAGTATTCACCTGTTCCCAGTATGCTCAACAGTGACTATGGCTTGTTAGGATTGCTGAGAGTCTGAAAGGAGAGCAGTAGGGTCTGTAGGTAGATTTCCTTTATTCTGGAGGTCCACACAGACCCATGTGGGTCTCAGGAAGTCCCTGCATTAGACTGGTTATAACTGACAATTCTATGTTTTTAAATGAATGGTTGTTCCCACACCAGGTAAATTGGTAATCGTGCTCCACATCTTCAAGAATAACAGTCTGGGCATGCTTTCTTATATTTAATGATTATTTATGAAATAAACCTGCATTATAGGCATGAGTATAGTTATTATGCAGAACTGATTTTCACAAAACTCTGATTTCGACATTAAAAAAATTCTTCATTTTTTGTAACACTTAGACATCTACCTGATTTGTGAATGCAAGCAAAGAGGCAGCCCTGTGAGTGCCAGAGAATGTACATATAAATATCAAAGTCTGAAATGTATCTATACATACTAGAGTCTGAAATTATTTGCAAGCACAAAAACTGAGATTAAATCAATCTTTTAGAAAATGAATAGTATATATGTGTCAGGTTTGAATTTAAATCTACTGAAAAACAATTACATTCTTAAGTGTTTGGGACAAGTTAAGTTAATGATTTCCTCCTTTCACTTCTAAATACTTTTCTTGTATGTCACCTTTGATAAAGAATAGCACTGTCTATAGGCATAAGTATGCAAAAATGCATTATTCCTGCTCTGACGCTTTTCAGGTACACTTTCACTGGAATTTATACCTTTGAATCACTTATCAAAATTCTTGCAAGGGGCTTCTGCTTAGAAGGTTTTACTTTTCTGCGAGACCCGTGGAACTGGCTTGACTTCAGTGTCATTTTAATGGCGTAAGTGGTTCAAGAACTTTTTAAGCTTTTAGGGCATGAAATTAGTGGCAAATATTATAATAATAAATATATTGATTTAAAAGTATTTATTTTCTGCAACCTTTGAAGTTTAGACACCGTATCACACATTTTATTCACTCATAAATCAAAGTAAAAGATGGCAGGAGTCACCATGGAGTGCCAGCTGCTAATGTAATTACTGCTGAGGGACACTAATTTCATGTCCTACATTTTTCTGCTCATCAGAATGGAAGCCATCCTTTTGACTTCATGTCACTGTCCTATTACAAGCTAATTAGTTTAATTAGCTGTCCAAATACAAATCAGTGAGTTTCACTTCAATGAAATTTAAGCAAAATCAATGAAAATAAGTAATTATAAAAGCGAGGTGTACTGAAGAGACAGGTAGATTTTGAAGTATGATTGCCAATATTGCCACAGAGGTTTTGAAGACCCACATAATTAGTATAAGCTCTGCCTCAATTCTGAATAACTGTGATTTAATCCTACAGGTATGTAACAGAATTTGTAAACCTAGGCAATGTTTCAGCTCTTCGAACTTTCAGAGTATTGAGAGCTTTGAAAACTATTTCTGTAATACCAGGTAAGATGTAACTGTGTAAGGTGTTAGGCCCCTCGTAACTCCGATTGTTATTTGTGTGCTGTCATTGTGTTTGTGTGTGAACTCCCCTATTACAGATATGTGACAGAGTTTGTGGACCTGGGCAATGTCTCAGCGTTGAGAACATTCAGAGTTCTCCGAGCTTTGAAAACAATATCAGTCATTCCAGGTGAGAGCGAGGTTAAACACCGAGGCTGACTTTCATTCCATTGAAGTCGAATTCACTTCTTTTGAGCATACGTCTTGCTGTTCGCTGCTTGTGTTGCCAAAAAAGAAAAAAAAAGAAAAAAAAAAGGCATGGATCATAACCCTGGATTACGATTCTTTGCCTTTTCAGCATTAGCTTGTTTTATTTTGCAAAATCAGCCTTTGAGTTTAACAGATTCTTGCATGAAATATAAAATATGAGGTCTATGGGTTATTTTGCTTTGTTTTTCTGCATTTTATTGCAACAAGTTTTCTCTTTTACATTAAAAAAGCTTTAGCGCTATGGCTTTCTTGATTTTGAATTTTTTCCTTCATTTTAGCATGTAAAATTGACATTAGTCTTAATGACAACCAAGTAACAACAAAAAAGCTACCAAAAAGGGGATAAATATTGCACAGGAAAATTTATCAAACACAAATGATTTATTTTTTTTTCCTCAAAATTACTTGTAATTCTTTCTCATACTATTTTCATACTGTTGTGAAGCCATATTTAATACTATTTTTTTTCTTCTCAAGATTACTTGCCATTCTATCTCATTCTATCTTCATATTGTTGTGAAGTCATATTTAATATTAACTGGAAACTGAATTATAGCAGAATATTAAATGCAGAGAAAAATTAAGACATAAAATCAAATATGTAACAGGAAAGCATGATTGATAAAATTTCCTGCTTGAGAATAACATGATATATTCAGGTTATTGGAATATATGTACACTGCATATTCATAAAAAAGAATCTTTTTCTGTCATTCATCTTCACAAGCTCTGAGGCTGCTCATGAAGCTTTACATTTTGAGAAATAAAAAAGGATTTCTTTTAAGTGTCTGCATGACATCTTAATTATATGGGAAGGGCAAAGATACTCTTTCATAAATCTATGGATCTTTTCTCTTTGCAGGCCTAAAGACTATTGTGGGAGCCCTAATTCAGTCTGTGAAGAAGCTCTCGGACGTTATGATCCTGACTGTGTTTTGTCTGAGTGTATTTGCACTAATAGGGCTGCAGCTGTTCATGGGCAACTTGAGGAATAAATGCCTGCAGTGGCCTCCAGACAATTCTACTTTTGAAATAAATGTTATTTCCTACTTTAATAGCACAATGGATGAAAATGGTACATTTGTTAATATGACAGTGAGCACATTTAACTGGAAGGACTATATTGAGGATGAAAGTAAGAATGACTGATATAACTATTTTTTATATATTTGTGGCTATAGTATGTAACTATTTGTGATCAACCAAAGAGTATTGAATGGTTTATATTTCTGCCCTATGTAGAACTGCTTACAGTCACTGACTGACAGAGATCAAATACATACAATAAACAAGTACAATAACCAGAAGGGTTCCTAAACAAACTACAAAGTGATCAGGCAGCTAGCCACTTCAATTTTATTACAATTTATTTTTATTTTACTTTGTAGTAGGCTCAGATTCATTTGGTCTATTCACATATATTTCTAATGCTCTCTACACAGCTCATTTTTACATTTTGGAAGGACAAAGAGATGCTCTACTTTGTGGTAATAGCTCTGATGCAGGGTAAGACCTTTTCAAAAATCATCTGTTATGTTCTGTAGAAAAAGCAGTAACCTGAAACCTATCTGTAGCATTTGCAACTCCATATTTAGCAGTGTTACAGAACATAGAGTTTTGCTGCTAAACAATGATTTCTTACTTAAGTCAAAATATTTTACTCTCTGGCTAAATGAAATACTCATTAACAGCTTTTCTTCCTGCTTGATTGGAAAATGATGTTGGTGTTAATGATAAAATCTGAACTCTGGTAAAGTTTATTTTCGAGATGCACTGATTGAAGAATGTAGGATGATAGCAAAGGTTAGAACTGAGGAAGAGAATACGTAAAATATTAAGAAAGCACAATAGTGACTTCATAGTTCAAGACTGAATCTTTTTTTCAAGCCTAACTTGAAAAAGCCTTCAAGCCCTTTCATTACTGGCAAATTCTGCCATACTCATGTGTCCAATTATGAGCCTAGAATTGTTACCTGAACTCTGATGCCTAACTGGCAACAGTAAAGAAGCTTATTAAAAAAAAAAAATAAAATCTGCATTATGTGGTAGATCCCTGCCAGTACAATTGGATTTAGCTATTAATATTGTTTAATCTGTCTGTAACCTTATACAACATTTTAGCAATTATTTCTGCCAGGAAATTATTCATTTAGAATAAAGATTCCATTTGAAAATGTGACTGAGGAGAATTTAAGTATTATGTCATTTCAACCAGTGAATGGATGGAAAGAGTATCTTTCATTTACTCTCTTATTAGTTCATTTCTTAGGACTTTTTTCTTCTGAATGAATTAAATTGTAATTCATGGATTTCCTGAGGAACAATAATGCGTATTCTTCCAAAAGATAATAAATATGTTCCAGAAGGAAATAAAAGTTATGACTAAGTACTTCCTGTTTGGTTTTCATATAGGCAGTGTCCAGAGGGATATATATGTGTGAAAGCTGGTAGAAACCCTAACTATGGTTACACAAGTTTTGACACCTTCAGTTGGGCTTTTTTGTCACTCTTTCGGCTAATGACTCAGGACTTCTGGGAAAACCTGTATCAGCTGGTAAGAAGTTTCTATGACATAAAAAGTAAACTGTAGGTGAAATACAAAATTATACAAATAGGCTTATTTGTACATGAGCTGAAAGCATAATGCTGTTGCAGTAACAAAGATAAGTGGTGGAATAATATATAGATATGCTTTCTACTCCCTAGACACTACGTGCTGCTGGGAAGACATACATGATATTTTTTGTTCTGGTGATTTTTCTGGGCTCTTTCTATCTGATCAACTTGATCCTGGCTGTGGTCGCCATGGCCTACGAAGAACAGAATCAAGCAACCATGGAAGAGGCAGAGCAGAAAGAGGCAGAATTTCAACAGATGCTGGAACAACTGAAGAAGCAACAAGAAGAAGCTCAGGTAATGATGGAAATTGTACTTTCTGAACAGCATTATTCTTACAGCAAGGATAATAATCTTTTATGAGTTAGAACATGTATAAATTGTGCAATGAATTACAAAAAGAAAAAAGCCTTGTTTACCATGCAAGTTAGAAAAGTGGAAATAGCCAACAAAAATCAGGAACTAACCAAATAGCAAAAAAGCAAGCTAATGGTACAGAAAAGAATGCTACTAAGTTCACCTAAAGACTGCAAAATATTTGTGATAAGAGTGTCTTAGAAACCTGACTTTAAGTAGTCATCGTTCGTGATGCTTTTATGTTACAGATCTTATGAACAGCATAAAAAAAAGTCTAGTTATGTTACTTCTGGTTTATGGTTTGAGTGAGAATTGCCAGGCTTGCTGTACTTAACAGTTCTTTCCCAATATTCAGAAAACAGAGAGAATTGTAATCAGTGTTCTTTTAGGTTTCTATCCAGGAAGGTATTTAAGCATAGCCCTAATTCAAGCACACTGAAGTCAATCAGAAGTTTATATGTCCTTAGAAGAGACTAGCAATATTTATAACAAAGGTATTACTTCAGAATTCTTTTAAAGTAATCTTTGTTTTCTTTGAAAACAGAAGAAAATTATTTAAAGTTTTATGGGAAAAAGACATTTTAATATAGACTTTTCTGTGAGGTTTTCTTATCTGAAAGTAAAATATATGCAAGAATTCAGCTCCATGAGTCAGATATCTGTTTAATTTCTGGGCTGATTTTCTATTGCTTTTTAACCGGTATTTTTATGTCCAGTTCTGGGATTCTTATTTCAAGACAAGGAACTACTGGAGAGAGTCCAGTGGAGAGCTATGAGGATGATTAGGCAACTGGAGCATCCCTCTTATGAGGAAAGGCTGAGAGAGCTGGGTTTATTTAGCCTGGAGAAGAGAAGACTGAGAGGGGATCTCATCAATACTTACGAGTATCTAAAGGGCGGGTGTCCAGAGGCTGGGGCTCTTTTCAGTGGTGCCCAGCGACAGGACAAGGGGCAACGGGCACAAACTGGAACACAGGAAGCTCCATCTGAACATGAGGAAAAACTTCTTCACTTTGAGGGTGACCGAGCACTAGAACAGGCTGCCCAGAGAGGTTCTGGAGTCTCCTCTGGAGATACGCAAAACCATCTGGACATGATCCTGCGCAACCTGCTCTAGCAGGGGGGTTGGACTAGATGATCTGCAGAGGTCCCTTCCAACCCCTACCATTCTGTCATTCTGTCATTCTGTCATTCTGTCATTCTGTCATTTTCAATCAGCAGGACGGTGTTTATAAAATGCTAGCAAATTAGAATCGTCTAAGAAATTATAGTTTTGGTAGTATTTTACAGCTACTTTCACTAAGTTAGAATGATTCTATAAAGTGCTAATAGAAAGTGAAACTCTCCATCTTTTTCTTGAAAGCTTTATGCATGATCTGTGAAATCTAATTAGCATATCTCTACTTTAGTCATTAAACCTTATCACTTCCAAATCGTTAAAGAAAAAGCAGAATCCTGCAAAATTCAAATTAAAAAAAGTTAAATATCAGCAAAGAGTTCTTTTGGTTTTAAATCTGATATTTTCATCCATGAAAAGGACTAAATCATATTATATCAAAAGCTATCAGGAGGCTCATCCAGATGTTTGTGTGTTTGAGAGTGGGGACAGAGATGAAGCTGATCCATAATTAGGAAGAAGAAGAAGAGAACCATGGGAAACAGAGACTCTGAGGAAGGTTGGATAAAGGCCGTGGAAAGTTGATACTTTTTTAAATGAGTCACCACTGAATTCATTATAAGGAAAGCAGTATTACAGTCAAGATCCCTTTTGTATGTGAAAATATTAGCAGAAAGTATGCATTACAAGGTAGATCACTGAGCTGCTGAATTGGTTGCTGAGATGGAAATGACTGTAGGACACACCTCTTCACTCCCTTGACACTGAACCTATTCATCCACAAACCTAAGTCATCACAGCAGTCTTTGGATTGCTTCACTTGTTTGACCTTTGGTATTATGACGTAGATGGGTGGTGACTCAACATCTGCTGCCTTTGTTTCTCTTGGAGCATTTGAAGGATGATCTTCTGAAACCAGTATGACAAAATTTTGCATATCATTTTTTTTAATTGATAAACACTTCAGAATCATTTTAATACTCTACATAGCAGAAAAAATCTGTATCAAGTCAACTTGTATAGCATGGGTTGTACATTGTGGCGAAGAAAGCCATTAATTCATACTATGTGCTTTCAAACTATCCTTTCCTGCTGTAGAGAGATATCTCACGATTCCTGAAACGCTTGGCATTGAATATAATGTTTTGCCAGATAATTACTAGACATCTTTGTTATATAACAAAATGTATTGTTATATATACATTTTATATATATTATATATATAATGTCTCTTGCCATTTCTCATACCACCCTTTTTTGTAAGCTGACAGCAGCCTATCAGCTTCCCAAACATGTTTTCCACTGCAGAATTTCATAGCAATTTCCCAGACAGTTCTTTCTAGGAAGAGTACTGAACACAGCCTCAATTCTTCCTTTATTTGATGACTAAATGAACTGGTTTCCTTAATGAGCCAAGTCAGTTAGGCCAACCACTGTAGCTGAAGATACTGGTCTTGAGTTTTGGGGTGGCTCTTTGCTCCAGTAAATCACCTCATCCCTTTCCATCAGAGAAACCTAATTTTTTTTTTCTCTATGGCTGTAGCAGCAACAGGCAATAAATGTACTTTTATGTATCTATAACAAAGACCAAGAATGCTGTTACAGTGGGGAATGTGGGAGGGGAAACATGAAGAGGGAGGGAGGGCTTGGAGACGTGTTTAGAGGGTGTGCCTGTTGCCAGTGAAGGTATAAGGAAAGTGAGGGCAGTGTCCTTGCTGTGAAGACAGTGAGAAAAGGCTGGATTCAACTACTTGCAGGCTGCTAGTTGGATTGTGATACAGTAACTCATATGGTGGATGTTAGGGATTAGTTTTCTCTGTAAGGACTCAGAAGGGATCAGCTGAATTAGAGCATGATGTGGGGCTTTTCTTGAGAGAAAATGGGGAAGCAGGTCTGAAATACATGGAAAACCCCCATGTTTATACTTTTCTGACTTCCTTAATTTTAGATCGATGTCTTGTGCAGCAAGTCTTTAAGGAATAGCAATGCTATTGTTCAGCTGAAGTTGAGGCTTCAAATAGCTCATGCTACTAAACAATAAGGAACTATACAATTCAATATCTTCAGTTCAATTTGTTTGTGTATATTTGCATACTCAAGGGTGTACAACCAGCAGTATTACCACTGCTGATAATAAAAACAGTTGATAAGAGCCTACAAAATTGTTCATTTTTGGCCTACTAAGAATACCTTGCTCTGTAACCTGACAGGCAACAGCAGCAGTAGCAGCAGCATCAGTTGCATCGAGAGATTTCAGTGGTGTAGGAGGATTAGGAGAACTCTTGGAAAGTTCTTCAGAAGCATCAAAGTTGAGCTCAAAGAGTGCTAAAGAAAGAAGAAACAGAAGGAAGAAAAGAAGACAGAAAGAAATGTCTGAAGCAGATGACAAAGGAGATATTGATAACTTCCCCAAGTCCGAGTCAGAAGACAGTATCAGAAGGAAAAGTTTCCGCTTCTCTACCGAAGGAAGTCAACTGACATATGAAAAAAGGTTCACATCTCCCCACCAGGTACAGCTCTCTCTTTTATTAAATCATGTACGTCTACTCTAATTTGGTTTTGACTGACATTACAGAAGCTTTACATATTGGAAGTTATGTAAAAGATAAGTGAAGGGAAAAAACAGTGGTAGTACCATTAAGTGTTACAGTTTGATATTTCTTTGAGTAATATTGTAAAAGTGTACTTCCAATCTAATAAAATGTGCTATTAGTTTGGGGCCAAAGCTACTCCAAAAAATCTTTCATTAACTGGAATGGGCTTTAAGTCAGGCTGATACAAAGGAGCTGCAGCCAGAGATCTCATCTTAGACCGTACAGTTCTGTCTCATATATATGTCATATATGTCATATATGTCTGTAGCTCATAGATGAGGATGGTGAGTGACTTGACCACACTAAAGAAGAGTCACTGACAAAGTCTGAGCAGAAAGAAATTTCTGACTGCTGGTCCTGTGCTCTAGCTACTCGATAATAGGCCTCTCCATTGTCTAGCCTAAATTCCCAGATGCTCTCTTATATACTGGTGGTGAAGATACTGATTAAGGAATATATTATCTTTATATTAAATATATTTTTTGGAGCACAGAAAAAATACTTAATACTGAAGCATGTGTACTGAGGGGAGGAGAATTTGAGATAAAGAGATTCCATAGATAATAAACTTTCTGTGGCTTTATTAACATACAGTAAAGCATTGTTGCATGTGTTTATTCATACTCTGAAACTCTCAGAAAGCTTTCATCCTGGCAATTGTTATGAAAAACTGTGAAACTTCCACAGAAACTTAAGCAGCTTGGGAAAGCAAGGCATTTTAAATTATCTTTGGTAACATTAAAATTAAATGTGAATTCATGTTGTAGAACAAATAATTAAAATCCATGAAAATCAAGTGAAAACAATTATTGTATATGTCTTAGATTTGAAAGAAAAGAAAGAAATGGTGCAATACACAGGAAACAGCTCGTCTTGAGACATCATGAATTACACAGCAAGCAGTAACTAAGTGACCATCTGAAATAACTTTTTTTAAAGTTAATTTAAAATTTTAAAATACAAACAGACTTGTATCAAGTAAATAATCTAAATGAGGATAATTTACTAAGACTGTCCTGGTAATTGTTTTTGCAGTTGTAAAAATGCTTTGGGGCAAACGTTGCCTGCATGTAAATGAAATAAAATGGAGCTGCCACAAGACTCGAAGGATTACGGGCAGTAGAACTGGTAAAGGAAGAGCTGGTTTGTCTTGTTAGTCATGCAATTAGCTCCCTGGTGAAATAGGGTGCCAGAGCATGAAACCACACAGTAGAATGGTAAAGGGAGATAATCTGCCCGGTCAGCCTCTGTAGACGTTTTGTCCTTTGACACAATATTCCACATACAAGTGAATGATGCAGCCTGCAAGAAAAGCCAAGCTTTCCTTTCAGACCTTACTTTCCAGGAGCATGTTGACACATATATTTCTAGATATGTTAGAATTGCAGCCATTTTGGCTTATATCTTTTGTGTCAGTCCAGCAGGGACTTTTGAGAGCAGGCATTACTCCTCCTAAATCCCTGAGGGGCCTGATCCATTTAGCTGCGCTCAGAGCATGATAACACCTACTGGAAAGATTGGATGACAAACAAAACATAGCAGCCATGGAAACATTGTCTAAAAAAATACAAGGGTAACAGTGGCAGTCAGACAAAACCTAGTGAGCATGTGATTTTTTGAAAGACTGTAGGTTGGCCAAATACATTTATAAAGAAATATACAAAGGGTGCAGTAATTAGTTTACCACTTTGTCAGAATTCAGTGTCATACTCTATAACAGCTAGAGCTTTTTTTAGAGAAAATTATCTTTCAGTATAAGCAAAACAGCACTTTTTCTCCAGCCAAGTTTACATAAATGAGTTAGCAAGCCCATTTGGTTGATATTCTTCAAGTAACTCAGCCTGAGGCTGACAGCCAGCATAGAAAACTTCAGCCCAAATTATTAAAATTTGGTATAGCTGTAATAGCAGAAAAAATACATCTCATAATAGTAAACACCTGCCAGCCTTTGCAATACACAGTACTACCAGTTCAGCACATACATTATGTGTATATATGTTTAAATCTGAATATGCATATACAGAGATACATATGTATTGATATATGTATATATTCAGTGTTTGGTTTTCACAGTGTTAATATAGGTGTATATATTATAGTGCAGTTTTCACCTTCACTTTAACTATCATGGGATAAAAAATACTCCTATTACATATGACCTTCCACGTGCAAAGCTAGTGAAAAATTGAGATCATATCAAACTTGGTTTTTGATGTACCGAGATATGAAGATTTGTAGAAATGCAGATTTGAAGAAAGCTTAATGCAAGGTTTCTTTTTTCCACAATTAGTACTCATTTTATTTATTCATGAATGCTGTTAATAAAATATGTAGCAAGGGAGAAGAACATTCCATTAACCAGCTTCTACTGTAATTAAAAGATGAATTACCAACAACCACTGATTTATTCTTCTCATTTGTAAGAGGATATCTTTAGGTAACTATCCTTGGTGAATGCTTGCTTTGAGCTGCCTGATGGCCAAGTCATACTATGCTATAGGCCCTAGAGTGCTATGCCCAAGAGTGCTACTAGTCATGTTCTCACTGTACCTCCAGAGCTTCCCCAAACTGTTGCCTCTGTTTTCTAGTTTTAGAGTACTGCGTATGTTGTTCCCACACTCTTGAGCCTATTGTGAAGAGGGCATACAAGTTCTTTACATCAACTTAAACTGAATTTAATACCAAACTTAAGACCAAAACTTCTACCTTCTAGGAAACAACGATTGGTGAGTGTTATCACCTGGTATCCCTGGGAATCCAGGGGATGAAGAAGGGAAGAAAAGTAAAAGATTTTTAGCTCTGTCCTCTAATAGAAGGAATAAAAGACAAATACCTGCAAAACCTTGATAGTGATGTTGACAACTGTCTCCAGCACAGTCATGGGTCTGTTCCAATTCAACCTGCCGCCTTTGCTCAAAACTGCCCAAACTTACTTACTTACCTTACTACTAAAAAGAAATTTTCCCCCTCTACTTCAGGTTCCCTAATGAGCACATTCTCCTAATGGACACACTGATACTATTGAAGAAAAAAGTGACTATCCTTCCTCCAACACTGTAACTATTCTTTGAAAATCCAAGAACTTAGAACTTCAGTTCTAATGCTGTTTTGTTTTGTTTTGTTTTAAATCTCTTACAGTCTTTGCTAAGCATTCGTGGTTCCCTGTTCTCACCAAGGCGCAACAGCAAAACAAGCATTTTCAGTTTCAGAGGTCGAGCAAAGGATATAGGATCTGAAAATGACTTTGCTGATGATGAGCACAGCACTCTTGAAGACAATGAGAGCAGAAGAGATTCACTCTTTGTTCCAAATCGACATGGAGAACGGCGCAACAGTAATATTAGTCAGGCGAGTGTGTCATCTAGAATGATACCAGCCCTTCCAGTAAATGGGAAGATGCACAGCACTGTAGATTGCAATGGAGTAGTTTCTTTGGTTGGAGGACCTTCAACTCTAACTTCACCAACTGGTCAGCTTATACCAGAGGTAATGATAAGTAAACCAGTAATTATTACAGTTTGGTTCAGACATGGAATTTTTTCTTACTGCTCACTTCTGCTTGCCTTATCATTTCTTAGAGCTGTCAGAAATAACTTGCAATAGTTTCTAAATAACAGAAAATAAGGGGAAAAAAGTACTCAACCTCCCATGTCTGAGGCTCACTGAAGTATTATATTCTCCTTGCCTTCAGCAAGAGATCTGCACATAAAGAAAAAAATATAAATTGAATTTGACAATTTGTACACAGTTTTGCCTCAACAACAAAGGTAGACATTTGATATATAACTAAGGATATAACTTGGAAATATGTATGGGAAAACACCTGCAAACAGCAGGCACTAACATTTCTACAAAAATGAAGCAGAATGCAGTTACTACTCCCAAGATAGTTAATAGAAATACTCCTTACTACATTTATCTTAAAAGAACCATTTCATAACTTAAATAGGAAAAGTATATACACTTCCTATGTACCTTTGCAATTACATTACATTTCAGTCCCAGTTTCAGACTTCTGTAAGCTAAGATGTTGTTTCAAACCTTCAAAAAAGCAAGATTTTTCATACGTAGTATTTCAATATGGATTCAGTATGGTGTTTTGGTGGCTACAATAGCACTGTGTTCAACCTGAAAAAATATTTTCATTATAAATAAGTATTGAGATTTAATTACTACTATTACACGTTTCTCTTTCTTTTGTTTCTTTACTATTTTGATATAGACCTTCATACCAGAAATTCAATCAGATTACATTAGAGGTTATGCGTATATAGTTCTATTTCAGAAATAGATTCACTTGAAAAAAGATTTAGCCATTTAACTCAAGAGTCTTCTCTAAAGAAATAGTACTAGTGAATGCTCAAAAATGTTTTTTCATCTTCACACTAAGACAACCTTGAAATCCCTTATGAGTTCTGCAAGTCTTTGTACTCTTTTTCTGGATGGGGACAGAATAATGAAAAAAAAGAGAGAGTGGTTTCCATGAACCACAGAATCAGCGGTAGAGCAGGAACCAAGACTTAGGAATTTTTAATTCCACTCCTGTGTTTAGATCCCTAGGCCACACTCCAGAAGAAAAGCAAAGCAACAGTAAAGACACCTACATGCTACAAAGTAGTGACACATTAGGCACATTTAAATCAGAACCAGATATTATTGCTTTGAAAAGATAATTAGAAGCCGTACAAAACAGAGAGGACTTGCATACTCATTGCAAGAATATATCACAAATTCTATATGAGCATTGTGGTGGGTGAGAATTAAGTAGAAGAAATATTAAATAAGATGTGACATTTTTTTTCTCATCTAAAAATTTCCAGCCATACTTATCAGGTTAGGAATGCAGTATATAGTATTAGAGAGATAATTAATTCCAAGAATTATACTCATGTTTCTTGTATCAAAATTACTTTCTCAAATAATAGTTCACTTCTTTCTGTACTCGCACTTTAACTATTTAACATGACTAGCTGCTGGAAATTAAGGTGACAGGATTCAACTTTGATCATTTTTTCATGAAAGAATAATAATAATCAGTAGCAAAAAGATACCTAACAAGAATTATGTTCTCTCAGTCATTTAAATGAGAACCACTTTTGGTATCACATTGCCTTTGTACTGTGTCCCCCAGCTGATTATTTGTACAAAATTCCCACTGAGTTCCTCAATAAAGAATAAAGAAATTCCTACAGGAACAAAAACCTTCAATGTGTAAGAAAAGTCTAGTATGCTGCACAAAGCTGATTTTGGTTGTTACCACAATATTTGTACAATAAATATTGTTAATTCGCTTTGAAAAGAATGGTTTAATGCCTCCATATTTCATTTACAGGGCACCACTACAGAAACAGAAATAAGAAAAAGAAGACTGAGTTCTTATCAAATTTCCATGGAAATGCTGGAAGATTCTGCTGCAAGACAAAGAGCAATGAGTATAGCCAGCATACTTACAAATACAATGGAAGGTATTTGATGCATTTTATCTGACAGGCAGTTCAGTAAATTTCTGCTAACTATATGTACAGAGCAATTATATAGATAATTTCCATTGTAAATGTAAAACTGGACATGTGAAACCTCTGAACATCAGATACGAAAGGCTTTTCAGCATTTCTAAAATCAATTACACATTCTAAATTCTTAGTCATTTATTTTTCATGACATCTTCCAAAATATTACTCTATTGAGTGGACTAAAAGAGTAATAGAAACAAAATAATCATAGCTAGGGTATGGCCAGAGCCCCAAAAAGAGAATACAGGAATTTTCTTCCTATAAGACAACAACAGGAAAAAACGATTAAGATACAGAGGAATTGCTATGATAAAGGCAGTGATATGCTAGCACAATTATTGCCCTTAAACTTAAAATCTAAGGATAGACAATAGGAAACTGGAATGAAAACTACAGTTTAATTGAAAACAACCGACTGTAATCAACCCATGCCAATACACATGAACTACCTTCCTTAAGCATTTCTTAAACTTTCTTAGGTAAGTATAACAAAGATTAAAACAATTATATATTTACTATATGAAAAAGCACATATTGTTGGAATTGTTTTGCTTATTCAATGGAAACTGAGTACACTCACACTTCATACATATACCATTAAAATATTTTTGTAAGTTTAAAGGATCTATCTACTGGCTACTGGCACACTGTGACAGCTGTTATAGTCAGACAAACCCAGCAGATGTCCTGCAACACATATTCTAAAAGGACAAGAAATTACCAAGAAATTTGCAGTGTTCTTAAGATTAAGTCAGAATTGAAATACACTTTTTTAAAGTGAGCTCTTAAGCCCTTTGCTCTCAGATAAACAAATAAAACCCAAACTAATTGTAATCAGAGATATAAGGCTTTTATCATCTATCTTCTTCTAAAAGTATTCACAAACCATTCTCACAATCATATCTTTCTGAGTATATCTTCCTAGTTTAGTGCAAGCATGAACTGTTACCTCTTGATACTCGGTATACAATTCTTAGTTCTCCTCCCAGGTAGAGAGGATATCTCCTTAGAGGGTGCTGCTCTCTTCCTCCAGCTGAATAGTTTGTCCTTCCATTCTTCTGGCCAGAAAAAAACCATGTCAACGTCAACTATATCATCCTGATAGTCACCTCCTACCCTCATCTGGTTTCCATTATTTCAGAAGTTGCTGAGTGGAGTCTTCTGTGGCAACTCAGCATCCAGTGTGAGTGGCCACTTTTGTCCAAGGCCAGTCCCATCCTACCTCTCAGCCTTTTGAGTTACATATTCAGAAATGTGATTATTCCACCCAATCCATATATTCCTTTGGAAGCACTGTCTTCGTTACGATTTATAAAGATTATAGAAGACTTCCACTACTTATGATACTCTTTTCTGCCTGGAGGCTACAGTTTGATGTAATGGGAGAACTTAGTAGTTTCAATGAGTTTGAGAGCTGTGGCAGCTGACCTTTTAACTTCCCATAATTCCACCCATATAGTACAATATTAGAGGCAAAAATCAATCCACTGGTCCTCAAAGTGGAGAGTTTAGTACTAAATCCTTACTAGCAAATACTGTAAACCAGCATGTTTAGTATTTTAGCAAAATCACCCATAAGTGACATGATGATGGAGACCTGCCTGTGCTCTAAGGGATGTCTGAAAATGGCGAATTTCAGACCTGGGTTGATGCCACTGGGTTGATTTCAGACCTGGGTTGATTTCCACTATGAGGAAATTTTATTGAAACTGTTGTGGCTATTTCCTGCATATTTTGTAGTCTTAGTATTTCTCACTTAAGCAAATATCAATCTTCCTTCTGGGCTGTCCTCAAACATCCCATCACTTTAAACATTCATCCTTGCTGTTACTAACTCAGTAGAAGTTACTGTTCTTCTGTAACTGACAACAGTGACACTGAAATGGAAGAAAAAATAGTTTGTAAAGACTCTGACAGCAGAGTTGTTCTACTAATACTAATATTGTTTTATTTCTCAATTGATAGTACAACTGTATAAGATTTTCAAAGTGAAATGATAACTTTTAAAATAAGAAAACAGGGATTCTGTATATTAAAACAGAAATTCTGTATATTGATTCAAATAAGCAATGATAGATATGTGCACCGAGTCATTTATCTGCTATGATATTGTAGTGGTTCAGTGTAGTAACAAATATAATATTTAGTTGCTCAAATCAAAATATGTGTGTTAGTTAACAAAAATTGTATATTTTATGGAGCTTACACAAATTATATATACCAGCTCATTGATGATGGAGTCATGTTAACTTTTAATATCCAAAATTAAGACATCTGCTGTAAGCAGGTCAGCTAACCTAAACTAAATGTCTGGACTGTCCCTACTGTCATTGGAAAGAGATAAACACATTTTTCTCTTTAGATAGATGTCTGAGATGATTCACTCTTTAGAGATAACTTCCTTGTCCACTGGTTATAGAGGAGCTTAAATAAATTAGATGCTTAATTTTAAGATGGCTAAACGTAGGTGAGGGAAATCCCATGTTAGTGTGAACTGTTTATTTGAATGATTTATCTTTTTACATATTTTAAGCAAGAACTTCCAGAGGATATAATTGGAATATTCGTTATTTGTTATTTTTTTTCTATTTTTTTCAGAGCTTGAAGAATCCAGACAGAAATGCCCACCATGTTGGTACAGATTTGCAAATACTTTCTTGATCTGGGATTGCTGGAGTCCATGGTTAAAAGTAAAACACGTCGTCAATTTAGTTGTGATGGATCCATTTGTTGATCTTGCTATAACTATTTGCATTGTTTTAAACACCTTGTTTATGGCCATGGAACATTACCCAATGACAGAACAGTTTAGCAGTGTCCTTTCTGTGGGGAATCTGGTAAGTGGTTTGTCATGCACTACTTGGTGTAAAAATACTCTTTTCTAAAAGAAGAAATGTATAAATGCATTGCCTTGGTTTTAAATTTATTCCAGGTTGTTTTTTATAAGCAGTTTAAAAACTGTATATATGATCTTCATAGATAAAGTGATTTTTGCTGGAGCCTTTAACTTTCATGAATCTATTTTTTAACTGCTATAATGAAATAACTGAGTATGTGTGAAAGTGCAGTCTTCACTGCGTTGTCAGATTTCTTTAGGTCTACCTTGTTTTTTCTTTAAAATATTAAAGGTTATCTAATTTTGCCATGGTACTGATATTCCATCACAGAAAATATTTTTCTTCTGTAAGAAATTGATGAAATATTCAGATGTCAGAACTTCTCTTTGAATTTTTTCAGTTATACTGTAGTGAAAGTACATTTCCAAGAAAGGCATATTTCTTGTTAGCAGTAAGTCCTGGCCACTTTAGGTAACTAAAAAATACTCATTAAACTAGAAGATTATTATTTATTCTCTAACAAAAAGCACCTTCTATCTGTAAGTTTATTAGTGATGCCTTTCCCAATTTTAACCAGATCCAGAGATTTAGGGCTACATGTAATTCCTTTTCTGAGCAGATACCTAAATGTGGCATTACACTTAAATGTTCTTGTCTGTTTCTCTCCATTTGCTTCTAATTCTCAGAAAGCAGAGGACTGAACTTTGCAAGTGTTTGTTTCGGAAGAAGATTCATATATTTTAAATTTTTCACCGGCTCACATAACTACCAATAGTTTACACAGGAGAGGTCTGGATTGACTCACACAGCAGGCAGTCCTGAAAATCAAAACTAACTAAGTGTTCTGAAATAATCACTCAAAAAGATTAATTTTGAAAAGTCTGCTAATATTTAAATGGAGCAGTAATAGATTTCTCAGTCAGAGTACATTTTAAAGTCTAAACATTTTCCTTATATATAGTGGTAATACATCCTTCTAGGACTTTTTTTAAAAATAGAACTAAAAATGAACTTACTCCCTACGTTTTCTTGTGTGCATTTCCTTTCTCCTGGACAAAGATTGGCATATTCTTTTATTCCTCACAGATTACAGAATTTTGTATTTTAAAATGTTGGTCATATTGTTAGAATTATTTCTCTCCAACCATTCATACTCACAAGGCCTTCTGCCTTTTCACATCTCTTTTTTTCTTTTTTTACACTAAGCTAGCAACAGTCATATTTTTAACTACCTTTGTAACAATCCAGTATCCTTAATTAGGACTACATATATGCAGTGAATACTATTCCTGAATTCCTGCTGGTTTCAATTAAATTCTCTGTTCGTCCCTGTATTAATCTATTAACCTCAATGTGATTTCCATTCAAAATATGTTAATTTACTCTTTGCTTGTGACATCACGGTCAGTTTGAGGATAAATTAAATACGACAAATATGACTCTGCCTTTTCTGTAGCGTTTTAATGAGAAGAAAGAAATAGTTCTAAAATGCAATGATTCATTTTCATAATACTAAAATTCATTCAGTATTCAAAAGTCCTAAGTAATTATAAGGAAACCTGAGTTTACTTCTGTTAAAAGGTGGTTTTGCGTATTTGGCGATGCAGTTATGCTCAAGAAAAAGTAGTTTGTGGATGGAATGGTTTATTTTGTGGAGGAAATATTTTAAAGTGAAATGTTTTTCATTGCTTTTTTTCAAATATTTTGACAAATATGACAGTTTTGTCAAGAATAATCTTCTTTGTTGTGTTCTCTTTACCACACAGAGCACTATCTGTTACATTCTGATTATATGGTAACATCTCTCGTATTTCAATCTAACAGTATAGTGTTTCTTGCTATATTTCTAATTTCTCAAAAGTATACACTTTTAAAAATGTTAATGTTTACACTTTGACAATGGTGAAAGTTTTCACAGCATTATATCCACCTCCTAATCTTAAATTAAAAGGTAGTCATGAGTGTATTTATGTAGTGTTGTAAAAAGTCAGCTATGTTTCCATAAAACTTGCTGTAGGAGTGCTGAGAACAAGTTGGGTAAAGAACTATCACAAGGCAATGGCAGACTATGTTGGTGTACGTCAGTAGACTTTTGTATCATCTAGGATATTCTTTGAGTGTTGTGCAGAATAATGGTATGTTTTCAGTGGTTTGGCATTATGCTCCAAAACCTTTTTATTATGCTGCACAAACCACTGATCACTACTCATTGCAAGAAAGTGTTTGGGTTAAATTCTGGACTTTAAAACACTAAGGCATGTTGATAATTTCACATTTGGCATGTCCAGTTATTTCAACGAACATTATCACCATGAAGTTATTTTTCCAAAAAGGAAATAGCTATCACACAGAATAGTAGCTGCGCTTGAAACCTCTATGTCCTTACGAAGACCCCAGTGCAAGAAACTCCAACTTCCCCTGTCTATTCCACCCATACTCTTCAACTCTGACCTAAAAGGCAGACCTTAGAGAGTCTGTCCTTAGAGAGTTTCTCCTAAGACTGCTGTTTAGACTATGAGCAAGGAAAAACATTGCTGTCAAGTCTTCTTTTGCTTTACTGTAACTATCCCCTAGAAGCAGGCCTGAAAACACCAGCTCATATCACATCATTTGCTGAATGCGTAGTCCAGCACATACCAGTCACACATGAATTGGAGCTCAGCTACTGACTGGTGAATAGCTTTATATAGCTTTATCAAACTTCTGCCTTCCTATATCTGTCCTAATTTAGTAATTTGGTTTTAATTACCAGTTTTCAGTGTTTAGAAATACTTAGATGCCAGCTGGAGATAGCAGTCAGCTGTTTTATATAGGTACAGGTACAAGTAACAGGTATGAAAACTCAAGCTGGATTAGAAAAAATTACTCAAGTTTATAAATTTCTCATAACAACTCAACTAATTATTACATTTTGTTTTAGGTATTCACTGGGATATTCACAGCAGAAATGGTACTAAAGATAATTGCCATGGACCCTTATTATTATTTCCAAGAAGGCTGGAATATTTTTGATGGTATTATCGTTAGCCTTAGTTTAATGGAGCTTGGTCTTGCAAATGTTGAAGGATTATCTGTTCTTCGGTCATTCAGATTGGTAAATACCTTGATAAATAAATATTTGCATGCAATTGTCTCACTAAAAAAAAATGTGGTGATGTCATCTTTTGATGACTGCCATGTTTTGAGAATTTTGTAAATCTTCTCTATAGTAATTTCATTAAGATTCATCAAAACTGAGTATCTGTAAAAACATACATATTGCCACCAGAGTAAAGAATCATAACTTTTTTAGTCTTTATATTGTGGACATTACTTTGTGCTAATCACACAAAGTCTACTTAGGGGCTTTAACACTTTGTAGATCCTCTCTTCACAACATTTATTTTAATGGGCACTGAGAATAAACATTTAGTAACTGCATTACATATAACAAAGAGTCATAACAATCTGACTTTAGGATAACACTTAAATTGAAATATTATTGAGCTTCTACTAGAAATGTCTTTTTTATAGCAATTAGTATTGTACACAAAATAATTGATAGGTATGTTTACTGGAGGCACAAGAGTCATGATTTAAATCTGTATTATTGTTATCACATTACTTGAAAACCTAGGTTATTTCCTAATATAGACAGCAGGTAGTAGTAACTTAGTTTATTAGCACCAATTGCCATGGTACCAAGCTTCACATACTGTAGTTTGGTTACTGAATATTATTTTTAAGTTAGTGTTTATGATTTCAATGGAATCACAATATCAGCATCAAATTGTTGCTTCAAAAACTGTCCTCTAAGTAAGCCTTGAAGACCTAATGTGGTGCTGAGGGAAATGTGGAACCAAGCCAGCAAATAGGGAGCAGCAAGGTGGTGAAAAGAGTATAAACTTCTAAAATGTCTTTAAGTAATTTAGTAATTAAATTAATCATCTGTAAGTGGATGTTTAAAAATATTAAAATCAAATGTGGTACAAACACAAATTATGGGGTTTTTTCTGTGTGCATCACTAAGATGAAATGCTGAACACTGCAGTTTAGGCAAATACCAAACTCCATGCTCCCTGCTTTCCATTAAAATAATCATATGTTCCTACCGAAGAACAAAGTAACCTACAGAAATAGATATGCTCTGCTAAACAACGTGGACCTAGCTTCTGTTTTATAACTAACAGTAATGATTCCTCTGCGTTTTTGCTTTTCAGCTTCGAGTTTTCAAATTGGCAAAATCTTGGCCAACCCTAAATATGCTGATTAAGATCATTGGCAACTCAGTGGGGGCTTTGGGAAATCTGACCCTGGTGCTGGCCATCATTGTGTTCATTTTCGCTGTGGTTGGGATGCAGCTGTTTGGGAAAAGCTACAAGGAATGTGTCTGCAAGATCTCCAGTGACTGTGTGCTTCCACGCTGGCACATGCATGACTTTTTCCACTCTTTCTTGATTGTATTTCGAGTGCTGTGTGGAGAATGGATAGAAACGATGTGGGACTGCATGGAGGTTGCAGGCCAAACCATGTGCCTTATTGTTTTCATGCTGGTCATGGTGATTGGAAACCTAGTGGTACGTGATGAGTATTTTTGAACATTAACTCTGATGTAAAATGTACATAGCTTACAGCTAGGCAATGAGAATGTTTGTCATACTTCTGTTTAGAATTAAAAAAAGAAATCTAAACATGCCAGATTTTGGGTAAAAATGCATGATGATTCTCTTCTCCCCCTTTTCACTCATTTCCACACCTTAAGTACTCTCTCTATGGGTCCAGGAATTTAGGAATACACAAAAATGTCAAATCAAACACCCTATCATGGGAGAGCTGCAGCTAATATATAGGTGCTGTTAAAATCCAAATGTCTTCCTAACTACTCTTGAAATAATAAAGCTTATGCTGCACCAGCTCCTGGGCAGCTGCTTCCTTGGAGAAAAAAATGTAACAGACTTTCTTACACTCATTACAGCTAATTCCAGCACTAATACTTCTGACTTAATAAAAATAAAGTGTAATTTAGATGTTCTTATACAGAATATTTTGAATTCAAGTACCGACCTTTTTGGCCTGTTTAGGTGTAAAAAACAAAACCAAAGTACAGTGTGATTGGACGTCCATCCTAAAAATGTGTTTGAAAGTTTCTAACTCAAAATTGTAGAAGAAACCTTTATAGAAAAAATTTAATTCAAATTGACAAGGTAAAATGCTAAAGGTTCAATTGATAAATATTGAATTGATAAGAACTTCTTAGAAATCAGGATTATAATTGGAATGTACCATTTACACTTTTACTTTAAAGTTTCTTTTCCTGTTAATCTTTGCAGTTCATTCTGATATACCTAAAAACTATATTTCATTACTTGTCAAAATTCTCTTCCATTAGTGACATATTTTAATGTGATTTAAATTTTTATAAAATAGAATTCAAAGTGTTTGTATCCTAGTTGTCTACATGACCTCACAATCTTGACATTATATCAGCAGAAATGTGGAAAGCCCCAGGAAGTCATTTGTGATCAGTAACCTGCTCTACTATTTATTTTTTAGCATTAGCTTCAGCATAGAAATACTGTTTCAGATTCATAGTGTTCTTTCTTCCAAGTGTCTTTTTACCTTCAGGGTTCTTTTCTGGAATTGTGAAAGTCTGCAGAATTAAATCTAAGAGAGAGTACAAATGAGAGACCTAATACATTTTACTATGGGGAGATTCGTTTATGCCATTTTGCCATATCATGACAACTTTTGATGCCTGGTAGTATATCAGACAGAAAGTATGAAATGATTAATTGCTTATAAGCTTTAGTGAAATAGCTACAGTTTATAGGAGTTTATATTAAAATAAGAGTAATGATTGAATTCTGAGGCAATAAACCACAGTTCTCAGGCAATACTGGTGCTAAGACTGTTACCTGCTGATGAAAGAAATCCATTTCATTTTTAAATTCCTACATGAGAGAAAACAGAATTTTCATTTTTTGCCAAGTGAAAAAGGAAAAAAACCCAGATATAAATAATATAGTATTATTATAAATATGAGATTAGTGTAAAATTAATTTTTAAATATTCCTTTTATTCTTTTATGACAAGCTTTATAGAATTTAAGAGACTTTTCATCTTTGTTTGAAGCCCAGAATTAACAGAAAATCACAGTCTTCTGGTATAATCTTCCAAATAGTAGTTAGAAAGTATAAGTAGGTTATTATAGCATTAACTGATATGTTTCTAAAATATCTGCATCATAGAAACTCGTCTAATTTTATGACTCATGTTTAATTAATTCTACTTAAATTCCAATTTTTTTAAAGAGCTTTAGACAGAAGCCTTTCAAACCTCTGATGAATGTGTATAACTAGAATTTTTGTAACTTTTTTTTTTTATTTTAGAGTCTAAGCAACCATGCTGCTTCAAACAAAGATCAAAAAGTTTAAAATAACTAGGTATTAGCTTCTCTGGTTTCATCTTCTGAGTAAATACTGATCAAAACAAGTAAGGAGATCTTTTGTAATTTAAGGTGCTATATGCTTGTCTAAAATCAGTGAATGTTGCTTTTAAAAACAAGGTGTACTATTTGCCAGTATCCTGTAAAAATACTCACTTCTATGTATGTATTTCCTATACAGTTGTATTCTCTCATCTTTTAGGTATTGAACCTGTTTCTGGCCTTGCTGCTGAGCTCATTTAGTTCAGACAACCTTGCTGCTACAGATGATGATAATGAAATGAACAATCTCCAGATTGCTGTGGCAAGGATTCAGAAGGGAATAGATTATGTTAAAAAAAAGATACAGGAGTTCATCCAAAAAGCCTTCATCAGAAAGCAGAAAGCTTTAGAGGAAATCAAAGCACTTGAAGAGCTAAACAACAAGAAAGACAGCTGTATTTCCAATCATACTGCTGTTGAAATAAGCAAAGATCTGAATTATCTTAAAGATGGAAATGGAACCACCAGTGGTGTAGGCACAGGCAGCAGTGTGGAAAAATATGTAATCGATGAAAATGATTACATGTCATTCATAAACAACCCAGGCCTCACTGTGACAGTGCCAATTGCAGTTGGAGAATCAGATTTTGAAAATTTAAATACAGAAGAATTTAGCAGCGAATCTGATATGGAAGGAAGCAAACAGGTAGGATTTTTTGTATTTAACAATTAAATTGTAGTCATGCATTTACATGTTTTTTAATTACATTTTTAGAATTGTTTAAAAACTGTCTTATCCCATGTAAAGATATTTTATATTTTATTATTTTATGTAATTTATAATTCAAGAAAAAAATAACCCTAACTGATGGTATACTGGGGGGTCCTTAGCATTTACATTTTAAATACTCTGTTTATAGGCATTTGGAAGATGTATCATTTTAAATATGGTTATTGCTTTCACAATTTTATGAGGTTTTAGGGCTAGCACACATTTCATAATGCATTCTTTCTGTAGTACCTATAATGCGATCAGGATTTATGGAATAAGAGTATTGCAGAAGGCTAAGGAGCAATCAGGAGTATACAGCTTTGCATACCCAATCAAATAGAAGTGGAGAAAAAGTTTTTTTTTTTTATATTTAGGGTAGTTCTAAAAATAAACCCTGAGACATCATAAATCAGTGATGTATTCTGGATTATCTAAAAAGTTTTGTGAGTAATATTCGTACAGATTTTGGGTTCAGAGACTGCAGCTATCTGAATTGAAGTAATCCAGATATCAATCAATGTCATGATAGAGCAGAATCTCAAGTTATCCTGGAGAGCAGAATAATCTTGTCATATAGATGCATGTGGAAACAGTGTACTTGAAAGCCTTGTGCTACTGTTATTGTGCAAAGAGACAGAAATTGGCCTAAAAATCAGAAGCCATGAGACTCAAAATATAAGTGGCTCAAATACCAGAAGTGAACAGGTGATAATAGTGTTCAAGGAAAACTTTGTATGTTGGAGTAATGATCAATGACAAGTCAATACATGCATTAGCAGAATATAACTTTATCCATTGTCATTAGAAATGTAGGAACGGTGAGGTTTAAGGGACCAGGAAACATGAATAAATATGTTTTCAATTAGATTAGAAGCTATGATGTTATGTGATAACTCATTAATATAAAAGGGTTTGTTTACCATAAAGAAAGTTCTTCTATGACTGTATCATAGCTGTACAGCTGCCATATTTGCAAATAATGCTGTATTCCTCAGCAATACCAGCCTATGCCACATAACATGAATGGATAGCCATGATCCAGCTAATCACAGTATGTTTTTTTTGCTAAAGAACATGAAGGAACATAAAGATTGTGTGTTTATTTGCAACTGCAAAGAAGGTTACTCTTCGTAACAATTGTAAGATTGAGCAAGATACTCTCTCTTCTGCCTGAGTTGCTCAGTTATGAGACAAACATTTTCAATGCAGATATGTAAGACAGTATAGTAGTAGTGCTTATCCATGGCAATTTAAGAATATAAGAGATTCAGGAAGTGTAAAATGATAGTTTATGAAATCAACTAGTATCAGAAAACGAGCTTTCAAAGTGACTCTGGGTCTGAGAGTTAAGTATTTTTCATGTGAGCTGATCTAATAAAAGTTATTTGTCTTTTCCAATGAATGTTTCACAAAGTCTTCTAAGTCTTTTCATATACTCTGATGTTCTTTAAAATGACATTTTACTATAAATTTTCTGCTTTCCTTGTGCTTAGTTTTGCCAAATACAGTGATGAGTGCCTTCCTAGTAACCCCATCTTATGAAGTTACACACCTAAAAATTTCCTGAATATGTTACTTTTAAAAAAGTTTGTAATATGCATTAGGAAGTTGGGAGGCTTATAAGCTGTGTGGATGCTAAATATGTGGTTACGTGACATGTTAGCCTCAGCAGCAGAGCTGGCTTGGGACGTTCCCATCCACACCTGGCTCCTGATCCCCCAGCAGTCTTTACCACTTCCTCTGCTACAGTGCTTTTTGTTCTGTACTATAAGGCATGTCACTGGGGTGATGTAAGTTAAATAACATCATCCCATAGGTATTATTTGTTTATTTCTTCTTTAAGATAGATTGAATGGTTCAGTTTACAGTGTACTGCCATATATTCTATCAGAAGAGCTGAGGACAAAACAAAATGCAATGCAAAGACAGAAACTCCTCTGCTTTCCAAGTGAATATATGATGTAAGTACAACTCAAGGAAATGGAGTAAGAGCCCTTGTTGTGCTAAGAAGTTCTGAATTATACCAATTTCAAGGTGACTTGCCCAAGTCAATTGCTCTGTTCATTCTTTACCTGGTTCAGGCATCATGTTTTTTTCTTCTAAGGCCATCCTGAAGTTTCAGGACTGTAATAAATGAAAAGGGATTTTGCCTTTTTTATGGACTTTGGATGTGTCTGTATGTCTTCAGGAAGAGAAATAAAATGCAAAAGTTTGTACAAGCAATTTGAAAGTGAAAATTTCAGGTGACTGTGGGAAATCTGCCAGTAAATGATGGATGGTTTATATATTAAGAACTTGTGGATAATTTTCAATGAGGACAGGATTAGTTTAGGACTTCTGTGGAGACTCAAGAGTTCCATAGAATGTAATATTGACTACCGTTACAAAGCTGGAGCAATGGTGCTTCCCTCGAGTTCTGCTCACACACAACTGTTCAGTGCTTAACTCTGACATGTATTTGTACAGTGTAAGTGTGCATATTGTGAACAGTATCTAATAAGACAGGAATTTCTTACCAGTGCCCTGAAAATTGTGAATTGTATATTAATTGCAGTTTCTGTTCTGGATTCCTTTTTCCATTCCTTCTGGATGATTTTTAGGGAAAGGATAAAGTGGTTGGGTTTTTTAGTGTGTGTTTAAGAATCCACCTGCTTTGGTAATATACAAACAGATGTTCTGATGTGTGACAGGAATTTGTGAAGATTCCCAATCTTCTACCAAGTCAGCAGTGCTGTTGAATCTTTTGCTGCTTTCTGATTGTCTTTTGAGGAAGATAGAGAGTATATTGGCACAGTGTTTAAGTTACCTCTCTAGAACAGTACACCATCATTTGCTTTATTTTGCCTCTCAAGGGATACCACTGAGACAACATTCCCGCTAGGAGAAGGCCTGGTCTGCAAAAGGAGGGGTAAGAGATGGGGCAGAACTTTCCCTGCCTTAACTGGCTATACTTAGCACTTAAAATAACCTCAGGAGGTATCCCCTTTAATAACTTTTTATTTAACAACAGAGCTGTGGGAAGCTAGATCTGCACAGGAACTGTAAAATGAACCATTTTTTTTCTGGTGTCTTACTGACACTCGCTGATGTTAAGAGCAGAATGATTATCTAAAGCCTATCAGCAATAACAGGTCATGATAGAAGTGGGGTAGGGTCTGTGTGCCCCTGAGGCATATGCCAAGAGCAGGTAATTACTACAGAAATTGTAACTATGGCTGAGTGAGGAACAAATTGCAATTTTTCCTATTTTTATTATCAGATATACTATGGTACAAAATAACTCTAACCGCCAAGTTTCATTTGGAAGGCTGGGCGGGGGGGAGGGTTGACAGTTTTTTTTCCCTTTCAGAAAAACACTTTCTAATTATTTTGCTAATTAGTAACTTCCCAAATCTGACAGATGCTATTCTGGAACCTGGTTGCAAGTTCCAGACCTAAACAGATCTTTCTAATATGTATCACTAGAAATTTGGGGAAGTCCCTGTTTGGATGAAACATAACAATAACATTTATTAGATTTAAAAGTTACCCACTACTTGAAAGTAATAGTTGGCTGAAAGCACCTGAAAGAAGCAAACATTTCTTTGATACTTTGGAGGAGGATTTTGCAATATCTACTATCAGAAAATACAGGTGCAATACCCAATGAAGTAAATGTCAGAAATAACAGATTTCTGCTCTGAAAGCAAGATATTAGATACAATTAACTTTGAAGATAATAAGAAAATCAGAAGTAACTAAAGGGGATCATCTGGTGCTTTTTAAAGTCAGCATTGTGGCTGCTGTTTCTATTATAAAATATGCCTGCTGATCAGTGAAATGAACAGGCTATGTTAATCTGACCAAACATAAGACTCCTAACTTGTACTTCTATACCACTTAACAACTGTTCATTACATCTGAATGGCAACTTTATGAATAAAGTTTTGGATTTCAACATAGAAAAGTAATTTCAATGATATTCATCAGTTATGGAAAGCTTACTTCACAACTAAAGAAATATATATAGCTACAGGCATCTATCATTCAGAATTCCAAAAGCCTTTATATCTACAGTATATGTACAGTAAGTATAAATTCAGATTGGAGAACCACGGCTGCTCAATTAACTTCTGCAATCACAACATATGGTTTTAATAAAATTAAAAATATTCTTCATCATCTAATCCACTGAATTTTCAAAACAAGGAATAAGTAAGTTCAGTTTTCTTATTGGCTTTACTAGCGCCTCTGTGACTAGGTTAAGTAACAAGACAGGAATACATTCCCAAAAGTTAAGCATTGCCATTGGGCTTCAATAAATTTCTTAGCCAAAACATACCCAGTAGTGATTTGATCAATTTGTTGGGTGACTTTTTATCATATTTCTTTTAAAATATCCAACAATCTAAATTCCCCTTTTCTAAAACTGATCAATTCTGGGACAGTATCTTCAAAAGTCACAGATTCTTTAAATTATGGACTAGCTGTGGATAACTAATGAATGAAACCATATCTTTGGATACACTGAAGGGCCACTGTCCAGACACCGATCCAATCCTCTTTTGGAACAATTAGAAAGAGATTATAGAGTCAGAAGTATATAGCATATTCGATCTAAACTAGAAATTAACACAATATGATACTTCATCATATTTAATTTTAACAGAAATTAAGGAGGTTTATTTTCATTGAGATCTATAAGTTCTACCACCATTATTAGAGAATGAAGGAGGAATGGGAAGACATACATCTTCAATGTATTTTGTTTACTGTATGTACATTTTTTGCAAATAAAAGAGATCATCACATAGTCAGTTAAATGAAGACTAGAACATTAAACCAAAAACACCCTTAAATTTTCATTAATATGCATTAAGCACTATATAAATACTGGAATACTTTCCAAATCTACTAACCATGTCTTTATTAATTTAATTGATTGTATTTTTATT